ATAGACTTGAAAATTTAACTCCTTTTTTCTTATATGCAAACATTACAATTTAGAATTGTAATATACCTTTCTAAAAAAGTACATGCAAGTCGATTACTCGCATTTCTCGAAGTATTGTTGCCGCTTTTTCGCGAAGCCGATTGGTTCTCTCGCTGCGCTAACTTTGTGAATAGCTGTCGTTGCATTGATCTTACAGAGGATCGTTTTGACAATTATGTATCAAAAAGTTAAAAATATTATAATGATATTATAATAGTATTATAATAGTATTATATTAATTTTTACTCCTGTGTTAAAAAAGATAAATAGGGCGCGCAACGCGCGTTTATAATGTCTAGTTATATAAACGTTAGTATAAACAAATAAATGTAAATATTTGTTTACTTACCCAGTGATGACAGCTTCGATACCTTCCGCTACGCTACTCTTATTAAAGGCCCTCATGTAGGAATGCATCTCCTTAAAGTACTTTGCCAGTGTGCTGTCCGTGTGACTCCACGGTATCGTACCAAATTTGAACATGGGCTTGTGAGAAAAAGGCTTAGCGAGCCTATGATCATCCACTCCGCTGAACTCGTGGAACTCTTCCCGCGTAATCATGAAGGCAGCCAGATTGGCAGTGTAAATGGCGAGGAAGACCACGGCGAATAACGCCCAGACGTTCGTCATAAATCTATATATAGAGAGTATCAACGCTTAATAATTTTTATAAATTATATTTCCCAATTGATGGATGAAGCATGAATGTTGTAAATTTAATCCAGACATATCGCAACTTTCACAGGAATTGATAATACGTATTATTTATTCGTTGAGATGATACTTTAATATTAATTTTTTGTTTTTATAATTATATATATAAAAATTCTCTATATTATATATAAATTTTATCATTTTCAATGAAATATAAAATAAATGCCATTGATAAAATAAATACTATTAGTAGTAAAACTAACGTTTGCAATTTTCCTTTAAAGAGTACATTTAATTTTAACAAATTTCTATTTAGTCATCCTTTATTTTTATAATTGAATATATTTGATTGAAAGCATTTAATTAGCAAAATAAATTTAATTACATTGAATTAATTTGATTCATAGAATTAGAAGAACTGCATCAACAAAATGCATAATTTACAAGTGAATTTGGACTCAAGTCAATATGATTGACGATTCATAAGTAGTTGGAGTAATTTACATTTTAGAACAGTTGTCGCAAGCGAATGTTTGCCCGGGAACATTTATGCACAGCGGCCGATCTCGAATGGGTAAGTGAAGAGGCGGAAGACTAATTTGTCGCTCGAGTTCTATCTCGGGTTAGTAATTAAAATTCACCGGGAAAACGACGTCCCTCGGAAGAGAGATCCTTTTCACTGACCTGGCTGTAAATCCTCTGGGAGAGTCGATATGGACGGCAGCCTGAAATAATACGGCCCAGACCAACCAGTACGTGCGACAAAACGAAAATCGATGATTCGTCGATGGATTCTTCTGCAAAAAGGCAACGTCGATATTGCTTTAACATAAAAAAATGTCCCAGGTATAATAATAACAATAGCACGAGCGAAATTTTAAACCGCTCGTGTGCATATTATGAGAAAATTAATACATTATCATATCTGTTCCAATTAAAAATTTAATTTAATATTTGCAATTATGGGAACATTGATCCGTTTTTATTTAACGACATTGTCAGTATATGTAAAAACATAATAAACTATGTATTATGTGACTTATACAACTGTACGAAATACATGCAAAACATACTTATATGCAAAAAAAATAGTGTATTATATAATTATATAAGAAATATTTTTGTCCCCATATAATGATAATAAAAATATACACAAATAGATTCTAATAAACATTTTTTTGTTAGTTAACAATTATATAAAATTATACGAACAATAATTGCAAATGAAAGACCAGTATAATCTCATCTTAGAAACGTATTTTATTTTATCTTCAATTGGACAAACATTAAAGCATGCATTGAAATTAATTAATTACCATTTTAATTATATCATAACATGTGTGCAATTGAAAGGTAAAAGTGCGAATGAGGTAGAAAACATATATAATTAATAAAAAGCGAAATAAAAATACCAGTTTTTGCGCAGCGCCTGAAGGGTTTACCTTCATGTCGAAACCAGAGGGCGATGCCCATTCGAAGAGTAGTATCATTATCGTCGCAGCATGTATCGCAACAATGCCCACCAGCATCCATGAAGCCGTGTCGAATGGTTCTGAAAATTGCATTGTTAAAAGCTAAAATGAATTTCCGTTCCAACATTACTGATGTTCATTATATATTTACATGTAGTGTAACGATTCGTGTGGAACAATATTTCTGCTTTTGTAAATGTTTCCCTAATTTATACAATATTATTAATACATCGTAATAATTCTAATATCTGCTTTCGCAAATATTGCATTCAATTTATGTAACGTTGTTTGTTTATTTATAATAATAACAATAATAATAATAATACGTATTTTTTAAATATATTGTCCATTAGTTATTGTATACATATTATAATAAATGTCCTTTGTCTCTGTAAATGTAATTCTCACCTAAAAATGCAGTGGGAGATATTATGCCTGTTCTTTTTGCTACAACAATGGCGATACCGGTTTCCATATAAGGTACAGTGAAATCGACTACTGCTTCTCTTTCCGAGTTGATCATCAATGAAGTCATCACCATGTCGGTCTTCCGATTGACTAGATCAGCTATAAGCCCGTTCCACTTCCCATTCTGCATACAATAGTTGATAAATCGTGTCGTTTGTTAAATGTGTCAAAGAATTGACATCAATTGTAAAATTTTTCTTATCAAAAGATATTAAAGATTAGTTACTTTTATGTAATATTTACAGATTTTTGAACGTTTATAAAATCATATGTATTTGTATAATTTTACGTTTATAATTGTATAAAACACTGGAAATAATTTTGCATGCTATGTAAAATTTAAATAATTATTTTTTTCATCATTTTGGTGTTTTGGTGTGATCGTAAGTTAATACGCGCTGTAATCTCATAAGAGATGTAAAATCGTGATGATGATTGGAATATACGATAAATAGAAAATTATTTGTTTTTAAATTCGAGCTATCGCTGAGCATAAATATATATTGCGTCATCGGAAGCAACTTTTGTGCAGCGGAAATTAAACGCGTCGAAAGCGCATTCATGCGTACATTCCATAATAACAGTCATTAATAGCTGGGTCAACGTATGTGCTTGCAGAGAGTTATTATCATCAGATAATTCGGTTTTCAAATTACACAATCCTAAATCTACAAAGTTGCAACAGAACGCAATCTTTCCCCTATTTTTTATAGTTAAGAAATTTACCAAAAGCATAAGGACTTAAAACGATCAGTCATGCCTAAGCCGCATTACATTTTGCTCGCGATGTAGTCGCCTGCTGTAGACATGAAAGGACAGAAATTTTAAGCGTCCAAAAGGAAGAAATAAGCACGCCGTTGCGGATGCGGTAAATGCTTCGCGGGAATTTTCTCGTTGCATTACAAGACACATTTATCTTCCGTGCGACGTAAGTAAGCAGCACCTTTCATGAATTTTGCTCAAGCTCACCTCCAAAGTACCCCACTTGCCGTCCTCTACCCTTACGAGCTCGTAAGTGAAACCAATTTCCTCGGAAAACTTTTGCAGCAGGTCAATGCAAAATCCGCTACAGCATTGATAAAAGCTCTCATTCTTCTGTGCCGATTGAATATCTATTCTGTAACATAAAACGAAAGCTCGTGAACGACAGTATTCGCATCGAATATAAGATATCGCGTGCATTTTATACTCATGTGTACAATTTTTCGGAAGGGAATATAATAAACAATAAGATTCTTGAAATCTTAAGAGAAATTTTTGATATTTATTGTATACAATTCTCGTATAATTTATTGCAACGCTTTATATACATTTTTTTAATAATTATAAAAAATATATAATACACTAAATTAATTCTTTACAAATATTACTAAAAAACAAAAATAATTAAAATATTAAATTTATAAAATTTATATATATATTTATAAATAAAAATTGTTGTAAGGTAAATTCTCTATAAGTTGTAGTAAAATAAATAGAAAAAATATAAAAACAAATTAAAACATTGTATATTGTTATTTTAAGCAATATTGTAATAAAATAATAAATAGAGAGAAAAAGAATATTGGAAAGAAAATATAAAATGATATGATATTTTTATGATATTTTTATGTTGCATTTTGCTATTCTCATCAAAGAATTTATAGTACCTTCACGTAATGCAGACAAAATTCTTTTTAAAGAATAAACTCTTTATAAACATAGAGTAAACATATTTATAAAAAATATAGTCGTTGCATTCTTAAGGAAGAAACTAATGAGGCAGCTTCGGAAAGTTCTCTATTTGACCATTCTGATTTTCTGCTTTAAGAATTCTTGTATTTGGTCGTTTCTTTACATGATTCTAGTTCACTCTTTATCCCGGTATAAGCAAGATGCAATTAAATTCACCGCAGCTGTGCCATTCGGGTCAGATGTCGTCGGGGCAAAAACTGACGGCCATTGTTGGCCGCCTTTTGAGAAAATCACCCCTTGGAATGAAGCCCTTTCATGCATCTGACATACACAGCTAACAAGATTCGCTCTGAGAGTAACATTAAATTCTTTTGTGCACAAAGTCTAAGTCATGATTAATGTTGATACACTAAAGGCGTTATATTATTAAAATAAACATAGTACAAAAGGTGTAAAAATAGATAGTGAAAGACAACCATATTAAAGGTAAATGCACTTTGGTGGTTGGCATGATGTGCAGTTAAAGGCGCTTAAATTGAAAAATATGAAAAAATCGGAGTTTATTTAAAAAATAAGTTCCATTTAATAATCTTTTGACATTTGTATCCTTAAAAATACTATTTTTTTAACATATATTTTTAACATATATTTATTTTTTTTACATATATTTTACTTCTAAATCTTCGAAAAAAAAGAATAAAGAAAATAATATTATTAATTAATAATAATAAGAAATTGAGAATTAAGAGTAAAAAATTCTATATAATCTCTTTATTAAAAATCTATAAAAATCCAATTTATTAAAAAAACTGTTTAAAAAACTTTACTCAATTAATTATTACAATCTAAAATGTAACAATTTTTATATAATAAATATAAATTAATTTTATTACATTTATAACAATTATATGTGTGTTCATAATAAAATAAAACGAAATAATATTTAAAAGAGCTATGTAATAAATGTTTTTCTATTATAAGCTCGTAAAGATTTGTATAAGTAATATATATTGTAATTTGTTTCAGATTACAATCAACACAGATTCAATCTATAATATAAAAATTTTATATACACAACTTTTATATATATGTATATATATGTATATATATATATATATATGCACACACACACACACACACACACACACACACACACACACACACACACACACACACACACACACACACACACACACATATATATATATATATATAGTATAGTTTATGGAGATTTAAAAATCAATCAATATATAATTTTTTATTTTGAATAATAAAAAGGTTATAATTTAAAACAAGTTATAGTTCAACATTGAAAACCTATATAGTTTTAATTGCAATATAAATTAAACATATCATCGATACAAGTACACTGTTATACATCTATTAATGATATATTGATAATCTTCGATAGTAAACTGCTTAAATCGATGGGAACAAGTAATAATTGTTCAAACAGTTGTTCCAATGTATTTTATTTTACGATCGGATGAACGTAGCCGATTCCATCGAAGCGTTACTTTAAGTTGCCGATTAAAAAGTTTGCCGCTTTACGGATGTCATGCTCCATTTAGCATGGTGGCCGGTAGAGAAACGAATATCTCTTTTTTCATTTTTTATTTTCATTGTACTGAAATATTGGAGTTTAGGTTTGTTAAAAAATATGAAATGTTTGAATAATATGTTCATAATTTTATCGATTTAATAATAAAATAAAATAATAAAATTTGGTACAGTTTGTTAAAAATATTTACTATAGTTTTGAAAAAAGACACATTTACGTTTACTATTACTTGTAATACATTATATATATATATATATATATATAATGTTCTTTGCAACTTCAATCAAAGTATTATCAAATATTTTATTTTTTGTAATATTCGATATGCCACATAATAATGATCAATATAACGATGTTTTTTCGAAACTAGATTTTTTAAGAAAAATATTCTGCAAAAAAAATGACATATAAAACTGGATGATAAATATAAGCGTCTACAACGATATTTTTGGCAGACTTTTGCATTGTTTACGGTGTCGATTACGACATTTTCATTGATGCGCTGACATGATATGCGACACACAAAAATATCAGATTTCAATACCAATACGTGAACGAAATTCGGCATTACGTGCCATCATATCCTTTCTTTTATATCATTTTTCCGATTTTGAGGAACGCGTACAATAGTATGATATTTTTATATATGTGTATTTTGCATTTATAATATTTTTATAACTAAACTTTCTTAGAAAAGAGATTTTCCATCCAAGAAAAAATAATCATTATGTCATAAAAATCTTGTTCAAAATCACTTATTTGCGTAATATATAATAACATAATGTGATTCAAAATGTGTTTACAATATCGTATTGTAGCTATGAACATCAATCGTACTTAAACGTATATCTCTATTGTTGGCAAATGGAAATATTTGTTTTTTAAAAAAAAGATATAAAAAAAACGAAGTCGCATACGGGCAGTAAAGCAAATAGAAGGTAAATATATCGCGATGCGACGGAACGCGAAGTCCCAAAGGAAGTATATGCCGGAATCGGTGATAAAATCGAATACATATTCGTAGGTCAGCTTGGCGACGATGAAACCCAGAAAAGTACCATAGCGGAAACCCTGTCATAAAAAGCTCCGCACTGACATTTATAGCCATTTCTCTCGCAGCGGCGCGGCACGTAAAAGGCGCTCACATTTCGAGCGAGTGCGCGCCTGCTGCTGCTGTTACTGTTGCTACCGAGAAAAATGTAGCGTCGCATTAAAAGCGAGAAGTTCGCGCTCGTAATGCTTTCGACTTTTCAGTTTCAGTCACGTAATGCGTCGGATTAGAAGTGAGAACTTTGATGTTACTCTTCGGAGTCGACACTTTCATGACTTTACGTCACAGCCCGATGTGACGGGCATTACGTTTTCTGCAACAGTTGGTTATGTAATCTTCGTAGATCACGAATGCGCATAAGTTTTGTTAATTTTATGCGATATATTTCGTCGCTTATTAAGAAATTAAGTAATTAAGTATTTGTTTACTTATAATGTATTAATAATGTTGTCAAATAGATCAGATTAAAGATTAAATCGCATTGTTTCATTTTTCAGCAACATATACTCCTAAATACTTTATTCAAAAATATTGACAAAAATAGATTCTTTAAATATATATTTGTAATAATGATGATTAATTATGCTTGTCAAAAAATTGCTATCTTTTGAGCATTTATCTTTTGCATATAGCTGATCTACTGCTTTCACTGCATTCATAATTTTAAACTAGACGTAGTATGTGAATAATAGATTGTTCAGCATAAAAGCATTCAAAATTATGCATGCCGAAACATTGGCTGCTGTCACAAATTGTTTCCGACTTCCTAAAACCAAAATCGATAAAGTTATTCGTACCAACTTTCTCATTATTTTGATGTCAATCAATATGTTAATGTATCTACTTTAAAAGACATATGCGACAAGTAATTTACGAACATGTTGTGTAATTCGCATGTTGGTACATGTTATATAGATACACTACTTTTTCATCAAGTTTACGATAATGAAACTATCACTTTCAGAGAATGGAAAGTGAGCTTTCTTCTTTATGTACAGCAAAATTATAGTAACTCTAAAATTTCATTTATATACTAGCTGTCACTTTCTGCTTACGAATAATGTCTTCGAGATTGAATACTTAGACATCTTAAACATATAATATAATACTGCAACAAGTATAAGTTTACATATTACGTATTACGTAAAGTTTTTAATACCATAACATAGGTTTAAATTTCTAATAACAATTTAATATGCACAATATAATATGCACATGTGTTAAATTAAATATAGTTCAGTGTTAATCAAGTTTCTCTTACATTAAATATATCCCAATTGTTTTAAATTTGATTAGAGATTTGTTGGTTTAAAATTGTATACGGATAATTTTATTTTATATATACAATTCAAATTTTATCCAAATCAAACGGACAAATTTGTTTGTATATTCAGTAATATAATAAAAATTCATATTTTTCTTAAAAGATTTCCTTATTTTTCTACAGTTCTTTCTTCTACATTCTTTTTTCTACAAATATTAATTTTGTAAAAAAAATCCATTGTGTATTTTTCAATAAAATTTATTTATTATATATCAAATAAATAAATAAATATCAAATAAATATCGTGGAAAGAATAAATACAATGAAAAAATAATTTCTCCGAATCTGTATGTACTTCAGAAAATAATTGTTAACAAAGTTTTGAAGTATGTTCTTCAGTCTGCCGTTTAATTCATCGTATCCATATTTTATCGTATATTCACTGTTCTTTTTTGCGTTACATTCGTGATATTTCTTCTATATATTATTATAATTGCGTAAACATGGAAACGATCGACTCTATAAGCTAATTATGTAAAAACTTAAATTATCCAACCGTAAAAATAA